CATGGAGAATGACAGTTAACTATTGAAAACTTAATCAAGTAATGACTCCAATTGCAGTTGCTGTACCAGACGCGGTTTACTTATTGGAGCAGATTAATACATCTCTTGGTACCTGGTATGCAGCTATTGATTTGGCAAATGCTTTCTTCTTGATACCAGTTCATAAGAACCACCAGAAGCAATTTTCTTTCAGCTAACAAGGCCAACAGCATACTTTTACTGTCCTGCCTCAAGGGTATATTAACTCTCCAGCATTGTGCCATAACTTGGTTCGAAGGGATCTTGATCGCCTGACTCTTCCACAAAATATCACACTGGTCCACTATATTTATGATGTTATGCTGATTGGATCCATTGAGCAGGAGGTAGCAGACAGTCTGGACTTGTTGGTAAAGCATATGCACATGAGAGGATAGGAAATAAATCCAACCAAAATTCAAGGGCCTTCTACCTCAGTGAAATTTCTAGGAGTTCAGTGATGTGGAGCATGCAGAGACATTCCCTCTAAGGTGAAGAATAAGTTGTTGCATTTGACCCCCTCCCTCCTCCAAGAAAGAAGCACAATGCTTGGTGGGCCTGTTTGGATTCTGGAGGCAGCACATTCCTAATCTGGGTGTGTTACTACAACCCATATATCAAGTGACTCAGAAGGCAGCAACATTTGAGTGGGGCCTGGAACAGGAAAGGACCCTTCATCAGTTCCAGGCTGCTGTACAAGCTGCTCTGCCCCTTGGGCCATATGATCCAGCAGACCCAATGGTGCTTGAGGTATCAGTGGCAGATAAAGATGCTGTTTGGAGTCTCTGGCAGGCCCCCATAGGGGAATCACAGCGGAGGCCATTGGGATTTTGGAGTAAGCCTTTGCCTTCATCTGCAGACAACTATTCTCCCTTTGAAAGACAGCTCTTAGCCTGCTATTGGGCCTTAGTGGAAAATGAACATTTGACAATGGGCCACCAAGTCATCATGCGACAGGAGCTTCCCATCGTGAGCTGGGTGTTATCTGATCCCCCCAAGCCATAAAGTAGGCTATGCACAGCAAAAATCCATTATGAAACAAAAGTGGTATATACGTGATTGGGCTTGAGCAGGCTTGGAGGGCACAAGCACGTTACATGAAGAAGTTGCCAAAAATGCCTATGGTTCCTACTCCTGTTACGATGCCTCCTCTTCTCAACCATGCAAGCATGCCTCCTCTTCTCAAGCCTATGGCTTCAATGGGGTGTGCCCTATGATCAGTTGACTGAAGAAGGAAAGACTAGGGCTTGGTTTACACATGGTTCTGCATGCTATGCAGGCACCACTCAGAAGTAGACAGCTGCAGCATTACAGCCAATTTCTGGAACAATCCTTAAAGACACTGGGGAACAAAAGTCTTCACAGTGGGCAGAACTTCGGGCAGTCCACATGGTCGTGCATTTTGCTTGGAAGGAGAAAAGGCCAGAAGTGCGATTATATACTGATACATGGGCTGTAGCCAATGATTTGGCTGGATGGTCAGGGACTTGGAAGGAGCATGATTGGAAAATTGGTAAGAAAGACATTTGGGGAAGAAGTATGTGGACAGAGCTCTCCAATTGGGCAAAGGATGTTAACATACTTGTATCTCATGTAAATGCTCATCAAAAAGTGGCTTCATCAGAAGATGAGTTCAATAATCAAGCAGATCAGATGACCCGCTCTGTGGATTGTCAGATTCTTTCTTCAGCTATCCCTGTCATTGCTCAATGGGCCCATGAACAAAGTGCCCATGGTGGAAGTGATAGAGGTGACCAGCCTGCAACCTGGTGGCAGGTTGACTACATTGGACCATTTCCATCTTGGAGGGGACAGAGTTTTGTCCTTACAGGAATAGACACTTATTCTGGTTATGGATTTACCTTTCCTGCACATAATGCTTCTGCCAAAACTACCATCCAGGGACTTACAGAATGCCTCATCCACCATCATGGTATTCCACACAGCATTGCTTCTGACCATGGAACTCACATCACAGCCAAAGAAGTATGACAGTGGGCCCATGGTCATGGAATCCACTGGTCTTACCATGTTCCCCAACATCCTGAATCAGCTGGCTTGATAGAATGATGGAATAGTCTCTTAAAGACACAGTTACAGTGCGAATTAGGTGGCAATAGCCTGAAGGGCTGGGGCAGTGTATGCTTTGAATCAGCATCCAACATATGGTACAGTTTCTCCTATAGCCAGGATTCACGGGTGCAGGAATCAAGGGGTGGAAGTGGGAATGATTCCACTCACTATCACCCCTGGTGACCCACGATGAAAATTTTTGCTTCCTGTACACTCAACTTTGCACTCTACTGGCTTGGATGTTTTGGTTCCAGAGGGAGTGCTTCTGCCAGGAGAGACAACAAACATTCCATTGAACTGGAAGCTAAGACTTCCCCCTGGACAATTTGGGCTTCTGATGCCCTTAACTCAGCAGGCTAAGAAAAAAATAACAGTATTAGGAGGGGCGATTGACTCAGACTACCAGGGGGAGGGAAGTTGGACTGGTTCTACACAATGGAGGTAATGAAGATTATATCTGGAAGGCAGGAGATTCTTTGGGGTGACTTTTGGTGTTACCATGTCCTCTGATTAAGGTCAATGGGAAACTGCAACAACCCAATCCAGACAGGACAATAAATGGTCCAGACCCTTCAGGGATGAATATGGGTCACTCCTCCAGGTAAAGAGCCAAGACCTGCAGAGTTACTTGCTGATGGGGAAGGAAATACAGAATGGGTAGTAGAGGAAGGTAGTTACAAATACCAACTTAGGCCACGTGACCAGTTGCAGAAATGTGGTTTGTGATTGACATGAGTATTTTTGTCCTATTTAGTTAAAAATAGGTTTGTGCATGTATACACATGTTAAACAGATACTTAAGTTATCCTTTTTTGGAATGTGTAATTGAGATAAGTGTTAAGTGGTTAAGTGTTGTGAACCTATATGATTATATTGGGTTATGAGACATTAAAGGACTAAGCATTCCTCGAAGACCTTATCACCTACTCTAAGATATATCATGCATTGGTCATTGTATTATGGGATTGTTATATCATGTTAGGTGAAATTATGACCTTAACATTGCTTTCATTTGAAAATTAAGCATGACATAGAGAGATGCTATTGTGTGTCAAGTTGACAAGGGGTGGACTTGTGATGGCTAATCCTGGTGTCAACTTGACTGGATCTGGGATTAACTGAAATGAGAGAGATCTTCTTGACTGGATCATCTGAAGCTGGAAGACACACCCTAAATGTGGGTCTTACCTTCTGACAGCAGCCCATATAAAAGGCCATAACAGAGGAGAACGCCTGGCTTCTTGCTGCTTGCCTTCTCTCTTGCTGGTGAGTTTGTCTTGCTGCTGTAGACTGTAGACTAGCTGATCTTTTGGCATTTGTCAAGACCTTCAGTGCCAGATTGGGACTACTGAGACAACCAGGCTTGTGGACTGAGGGACTACAGATTCTCAGCCTCTCCAGTGTGGTGCAGCCATTGTTGGACCACTTGGACTCTATCCTGTGAGCTAAGCTGATAAATCTCTATAGATATATATTCATTCTACTGGTTCTGTTTCTTTGGAGAACCCTGACTAATATACCACATATGAAATGGACCTAACAGACCTCTACCAAATACTCTACCCTAGCACCAAAGAATATACTTTCTATTTAGCACCTCATGGAACCTTCTCCAAAATCTACCACGTACTGGGGCACAAAACAAACCTCAACAAATATAAAAAGATTGAAATAATTCTATGCATTCTATCATACCACAATGCATAAAGCTTAAAATCAACACTGGAAGAAACCCCAGTGACCACAAGAACACATGGAGATTAAACAACACACGCCTGAATGATGAATGGGTCAAAGGAGAAATTAAGAAAAAAATTAAAGTATTCCTGGAACTAAATAAAAAGGACAATACAACACAAGAAAACCTCTGGGACACATTGAAAGCAGTCCTTAGTGGGAAGAATATAGATCTCAGTGCCTACATTAAAAAATGGGAAAGAACACAAATAAATGACTTAACACTGGAACTCAACACACTTGAAAAGCAACAACAAATAAGAGTCTGCAGAGTGGGTCCCTGTATAGAACTCCTATATTAAACTTTACCCATACTTGACTAACTGCTGAAGAACTAACTGCTGAAAGCAGTCTTCTGGTTTCCACATGCATCCTGTGTCACCTGTATACTCACGATCACATACACACGACACAGAAAAGGTAAATAATTTAGATTTTTAAAGCTTTTTAATTGAATTTTTGTGATTTTTAAAAATTATTTTATGTATGTGAGTGTATTGCTTGCATGTTTGTAAGTGCATCTGTGTCATGCAGTGCCTGCAGAGGTCAGAAGAGGATGTCAGATCCCCTGGAATTGGAGTTGTGGACAGTTGTTAGCTGCCATGTGGGTGCTGAGAATTGAACCTGGGTCCTCTGTAAGAGCAATCCATGCTCTTAATCACTGAGCCATCACTCCAATCCCTAAATTTTTGTGATTTTTATACAATATAGTTTGGTGGTGTCTTAATCCCCTCCCCCATTTGCACCTCCCTCCACTATCCCAATTTAATATACTATTTAATATATACAAATGAATATATATATATATATATATATATATGAAGCTTATAGAGTCTGATTTGTGTCCCTAAATGTCTTTCAGTGTGGGTTCATCCACTGGGCCCCCAAGGCTCTAGGATCATTGGGTCAATATTGAAAGAACCATAGGGGGTGGATAATTTAGATTTTTAAAAATGGAACACAAAAGCACAAAATGGGACTAAGATATTTATTATTGCATCATCACAATCCCTACAGGCAAGAGTGATGAAATAGTAGAAAAGACCAGTCAGATGAGGTGTCTGATGAGGGATTAGGGGTAGAACATGCTATTCCTGGGTGAGTCTTCACACATGATCCCTTGCCTGTGCTGAACATCAGAATAAATTCAGGATGGTGGTTTTTAAACTCCCCTAGTCTTTGAATTTGCAGACATAAGGTAACTTCACATCACAGGTATTATCTCTCCATTTCAGAAATCCTGGAGAGAGACAAGAGGTAAAGTGATTGGGGCAGGCAGAGTTTGTAGATTTTTTTGAATATAATGAACACCTCAAATTCTGGCCTAGACCTAGAAATACATATCCCTCATGTTCACCGAGGTTACAGCCCAGGGGAGGAAAATACTCAGGGAACCAAGAAAGAAAATGGGAGGGAAAAAGAACACATTGCATTTCCTACCTCAGAGGTGTACCAGAAATATGGGAGGAGGGCTATGCATATAGTCAGAGATGGCTCTTCTCTTTCTTACCTGAGGCACGTGACAAGCTGCCACAGAACCCACGATCTAATGCGAAGGATGGGTTCCTCTCCCAGTTAAGGTAATTCAACACATCAGTGTTACTCCATTCCCATCCACCTCCATTGGGTTCTTCACCCTAATGAGAAGGCAGCCAGATAAGGGGAAAGGTTCATTCAAGGTCTGCATGCATGGTTCCTTCAACGAAACAGTGGATTTCCTCTTGAGTCTCTTCAAAGTTAGTCTGATTTTACAACTGTCAATAGCCTTCTGATGACATGTTAATTCTGAATTTTTTACATTTGTAAAGAAAAATTTACAAATCCCAGAATCTATTGAATGAAATTAGGACCGACTGAAATGTATGTGAATTATAACTGGTGGTACATTAGTGTTCACCTAAGATACACAAAGATAAAATCTATCCTACAAAAAAAATATGGATAATTTGGATAATATGTGCAGACTCCTTAAAGCTGATGGAAAAGGCTTCCAAGGACTCCCATGAGAACTTTTCAAAAGTCAACAACAGGTACACAAACATCAACAGAATTCTAGAAACTTCCACAGAGTTGAGATGTTCAGCTGGCCTCCAGGATTTTCCTCATCCCCAATGTTGCTCAGCATTTGAGCTCTATGGCCCCTTGGGCTTTTTTCCTGGGACATACAGAGAAATCCTGGGTGACATTAGCACTTCAGAGCAACTAAAGATGAGAAGATGGAATCTCACCAAGGTAGGGTCATGAAGCCCAATCCAGACGTATCGATAGCTGTTCACACTGCTCTTCACCAGAGAGGACAGAAAGGAAGCCTCAGGTGCACTGAGCACAGATACAAGATGCCCTGATGGTCTTTTCTGGCAGGCTAGCTGTGTGAGAAACAGAATACAAAGACTTAAGCCTCACTGGATAATGGCAAGGTAGAGGTAGGCAAGAGGGTAAGCTATATTGAAGGTGAAATCAGATAAAATGATCCACAGAGAATGGAGGCCAACAATCCCACATGACCCCATGCACTTTCAACCTATGCCCCTCACCCCATTCCTCAGCACTCACTTCTGCATCAAACCAGGATTGTGGTATCTGAAACAAGGCGTAGCAGTAGGAGCCATAAGCCCGGGAGCCTGTAGGACAGCTGATGCGTGGAGAGGGCATGTCCTTCAGGGAGTCTTCACCTGGGGTAGAATGAGATATAGAGATATAGAAAAGGATGGGGTGAAATGAAAAGGGGGATTAGATGAGTAGGTCAAAATGGGGAATGTTTTATATCAACAGATGTAGTAAATGGAGCAGTGCATTAGTCATTTTTCTGTTGCTGTGATAGAAACACTGACCAAAACAACTTATAAAAGGAAAAGTTTATTTGAGCAGAGGTGGCTGGAGCAGGAGCAGTGGAAGCTAAGCTCTATATCTTCCAGCAGGCACCAGAATAACAGAGCAACTGGAGATCTAGCAAGGCTTAGGAACTCTCTAAGCCCACCCCCAGTGACATGCTTCCTCCAGGACAGCCACACCTTCTAAGCTCCCAAAACAGCACCACCATCTGGGGACAAAATATCTAAGTATTGGGAGCCTATGGCGAATATTTTCATTCAAACCACCACAAGCAGTATCACATTTCATTTTATATTTCCTTCCTTTTCAGCAGGCCATGACTCCCTCACCCATAGGGTGATAGGCTTAAACTTAGTCCCACTTTTCTCCTCCTCTGCAACTCATTATTAACCTTCACATGTTCCTTTTTCCAACTACCAACATAAATTAAAATACCCTAAGAAAATGAGAAAGCCTCTTATTCCACTGATGATGAACCTCTGTGGTACCTCCAAACCACCAGGATGATAGAGGAGTTGTGGCATACACTTCAGCATTACTACATGAGACAGTCAGGGACTTTCTTCTGCTTCTTGGCTCTGGGCACTCACAGGGAACCTAGTGCCAAAGGTACAGAACTTACCTTGTATCTGAGATAAGAACATCAGGCAGGAGAGCAGCATCCAGGACATGCTGGTGAGAGCCATGTGAGGCAGCATCATGTCTGTGAGGGGCAAACAGTCATTCTAGGGAGTCTGGTCAGGGAGGACAGGCAGAGAGGGCATTCCTTCCCCTTCTTTGCCTAGCTCTGTGGGGATACACTAATCTTTGTCATAGTCCTCTCCTGTGGTCATGGAATTAAACACAGTATATTCTCCCCTTCCCCTGAGCTATAAGGACAGTCTACTGAGTCTCAGAGCCCTGTGCTCTATGACAGGGACTCTCCTATACCATCTCCTATAATGTGAGACCTGAACCTCCACAAAGCCCTTATCTACTTTCAGCTCCCACTTGCCTGTCTTGCAGAGATCAGGAATGGTTTGTCAGGACAGAAATGACTGAGCTTTTATAACAGGATCTGAAGGCAGGGTATTGAAGTGAATGAATAATGGGAATGCCTAGGCAGGTTAGAGGCAGTGGACAGTGCTTGGCATGGATTCAAGGAGATTCTTCCCGGCAAAAGACTGGGAATTGCCACAAGTATTGCCTCTTCCTGTAAGTGGCCTAGTTCCGTCCTCAGGTGTGGATGAAGTTTAAACTTTGCCCACTGTCTTCCAGATAACCCCTTCTGGTAAACTTAAGGGAATTACAACATCTTGGGGTACAAATTGTGCTGTCACATAGTTTTGAAAACATTATTACCTGCGTAGTTAGGGAAAATAAGTAGAGGATACTTAAGGAAAATATATATAAGGCATAGTAGTATATTTTGAAACAACCTGAAAAATCCTACTTTTGGCAATCCTTTTTTCCTGTCTGGAAGCTTTCAAACTTTTTATAAGAAAAATATGTTCACTTATAAATGGTAGGTATTTATTAATTGATTAAAATGAAGGATATATACTGGGAAGAAACAATGACTTAGATATGCTAATTATACTTTTCAGCAATATACAAAGTAAGCTTGTAAGTCAATATACTTGCAAGGAACTTAAGAAAATTTAGCTGAACAGCTGTACTCTGCATTCACTTCTTTGAGGGAAGAGTGACGAAGAGTTAGTTCACTGTATTTCTGGGCTGAAAATTTGCAACCTTGGGTGAGCATCCTTGGATTGTAAATGCACAGTCATGGGGGACTTCTAGACTCTTTTAGAAGTGCTACATAAATCTGGTCTTCTTTTTACACTCAGTTTTATTTACTGTTTTTACTCTGCTGACATTTGTACTCAGAACGCCAAAGAAATAATTGGGTAAATGGTCTAGTGACTTAGCATTAATTAAGTTGTTGCCATCAGCCTGTGTCTTTCAGTCCCACATACTTCTAAATAGAGAAAAACATTCTCAGCCAGGCCTTGTGGTAGAGATTTGTAATCCCAGGTACTCAGAAGGCTGAGACAGGAAGACTGCAAGTTCAAGGCCTGTCTGGGCTAGTACATGAACTCAAGACCAATCTGGGCAATTTAATATGATCCTGTTTCTAAACAAACAGTAAAGAGAGGGCTGGAGGTTTAAGTCAGTGGTAGAGAATTTGTTTTCATGTGCAATGCCTTAGCTTCTATCCCCAGCGTATGCACACAGAAGGACATTATCACTTTTAAATTATCATGGACTTATTAAGTAGTAAATTTGTTAATTGCAGTAAATTTCAGCCCTTCTTTACAATGTTTTAATTTTCTGTATGACTAGATAGAAAGTCTGCATTCTGGAATATGCTGATTGATTTCTTGAAAAAAGAAGAGTGACTAACACTGTTGTAACTCACTGTTTTGTGTTAAAGATACTTTAACTTTCACTTGAAAAACAAGTTGATAAGCTTAGTTTTTACACTTTTGAGCACTTTAGTAAGACATTGAAATAATGATTAATAATTATTAATATTAATAAATTAGTAATACTTTATTAGTAAATTCTATTAGCAAATTAGTAATAAATATTTTACATGTCTTATCATATAACTATTAATAATATACAAGTAAAAACCAATTTAGGATTTCAATCATCTTTGATAATGCAAGAGATCTCTGATGTCAGAACAGTTTAAGAACTCCTGGTTAGTATACAGTAACTTTTTTGAGAAAGATTGAGAATTGGAAACATTTTAAATTAAAACACAAATACCCTCCAGAAGGTGGGAAACCCTTTGGTACAAAAGACTCCACTTCTCCAGCCAATGAATATGAAGAAACTAAACCGCAGAGAAGTCTGAACATATGAGAGATACATTCATCAAGCACATCAGTGGAACATTGTTGAACACTGATTTAAACAAGCCAAAAAGAAAATATTAATTATGTGACACGTGCATATGCATTCCTGTCATCCTCTATCACATTACTGCCCTTCATTTTACTTATTTTGTGCTATAATCACACAAAATACTGATATTATTACTCCTTTAAGCAAATATTATATTCAAGCTTGATTAAAAACTGGAAAATATTTCATCCTTTCTTCTTCATGCTTTTCAAAAGCTTTTCTTGATGTAGGTGTGTTACTGAACCTCTATCATTTCCTTCACTGTTAACATTTTTTATTGGACACATTTGCTGGAAATCAGTCCTTTCAGAATTGTTTTGTCACAGGAAGTCTTTATTTCTCCTTTGACGAAAACATTGCAATCAATAAAATCTACTTTGGTTTTGTTCTTTCTGCCAACACATTAAATACTTCATTCCACTCAGTTTTCCTCTTGAAAAGTCTCGTCTAATTTACTATACTAATTCCATATTAAGAAACTATTCTCACAATCTACAGCTTTTTTCAAGACTTTTCTCTATGTTGTTGGCAATCTGTAGGCTGAATATTATATGTCTAGGTTGAGTTTTCAAAATTAATCCATTTGGTTTTCACTAAGTGTCCAGGATCTCATTTACGTACTCTGTCATTCATTTGGGGAAATGCATATTCATCTTCAACCTTTTCTTTTTCTCTGTTCTTGTTTCTTCTCCTTGTAGTATACATCTTATCCTTAAGATTTATCTTTATAATCATCCTTTGATCTTTGAATATTCTGTTACATGTTTTCATTCCATCATCTCTTCATGTTTCCATGTGAGAGGACATTTTTATTAAAGGATCAAACCCACTGATTCTTCACAGGACATGTTGACTTAAGAGCCAATCATCCTTTACTTTTCTTATACTGTGTTTAATATATAGCATCAGCTTCCAATTCCTTCATAGTTTGCATCACTCTGCCTACATGGCATAGTATTTTCTTGAGCACACCTGTTTTTTCCATTATTGCCTTTACCAAATGAAGCACACCTGGGTGCTTGTCTTCCCCCACTGCTAGAGGCTGTAGGGGCTATTTTTGCTTTTTCATCACTAAACCTGATGGATCCTTAGGAAAAAAAAAATCCTTGAAATTTTTTGGGACTCTTCAGAATATAGATTTCAGGAGCTTCTCACTCTAAATAATAATCCACACTCAAAATTCAGGAGTTTCTAAAATTAGTATTAAGTATTCTAATAGTTTGTAGCTCTAGAGAGACTGTTGCTCCATAAGTAGAAATTTAGAGTTGGTGTTTCTGCACATATCAGGAAAGGGATTTGCCCTCCTGCCTCAATTCTCAAAGAAAATTTGTTGGTTTAAAGTATTTTCATATTTTTTTTCTTGAAACAAGGAAGTAGCAATGTCTAAGACGCTGTATTGACACTTGATCTAAAAGTTCAAGTATTCTCTTTTCTCTGTATTTCACAATAATCCCATTCCAAGTTGAACTGGGATTGAAAGAAGAAAATGACTTTTCACAAAAAATAAGTTGAGAAACAGTATTTAAACATCATCAGACTTCCTTAAGGCCGGTTCAGTCACACTACAAAGAGGGGCATCTGTGGGCAGTGTACGAGTAGGAGGGCAATATATTCAACTGGCCACAAGAGGGCACTCCATGAGATGGGTCCACACTCATCACAAAGCATGGGTGGGTGGGCCTCATCAGGCATTTACCCTCAGGCCTGGCTGGAACAAGGAGAGGTTAATCCCAGCGATTTTTTTTTTTCTTAATCACTATCCCCTATGTAATCTTACTATAAAATAACAACACAAAAGCTTAAAATAGCAATTAAAATTGTATTGTTCTTGGGTCCTCAAGCCACAACTCATATGGAAGAAACAGAAAGAAGGATGGAGAGGAAGGAAGGGTGTGATAAGTGCAAAAGGGGGTCAGGGTCAGGTTGTATGAGAAGAATATGCTCTTCCTTCATGAGTCTGAACTCTGGGTCTTTTCGACATGACAAGCTTAGTAAAAGCTTTTAGTTGTCAACTTTCCGTCTGCCTAGTCCTTGAACTTGTAGACATGGGATAAGCTCACATCATAGCTGTAATCTCTCCACTTCAAAAATCCTGCAGATAGAAAGAGATAAAGAAACAGAGAGAATGAGAATAATGAGAGAGAGAGAGAGAGAGAGAGAGAGAGAGAGAGAGAGAGAAGACAGAGACAGAGACAGAGAGTGAAGTGGTAAAGCAAAAGGTTCAGGTGGATCTTGTGAACCCAATGAACTTGCATCCCAGATTCTGATCAAGGTTTGAAGGCTTCATCCCCATCTTAACCAGGGTCTCAGTTCAAGGCAAAGAGACACAAAGCAAAGAGATATAAAGGGAGATAACATAAGTCAAACCAACATTTGATTCTACAGGCTGGAGGAATTCCCAGCACTAAGACCAAGAAATGGGGCAGGAGGTATGGAAAACAGGTAGTTCTTTTTTCTCACCTGAGCCTCCCAACAGGCTCTCTCTGCTGCATGAGATAATGAGCGTTCCCCCAGCTGAAATAATTTATCACATCAACATTCCTCCAGTCTCATCTTCCTTCACTTGGTTCTTGGCCCTCTGGAGTTACAGCCATGGGAAAATAATGATCATTAAGCTCTACATTCATGATACCTTTAGCTAGAAAATTGAATTTCTCTCCACTGTCATAGAACTTACTCTGCTCATCCACAAGCTACTAAGAGTCATTTAATGGATACTCACCCTGAATTCCTCACTCCTACTGGCAAAGTTAGTATAACAATTTGACCCACTGAAAGTTGTGTTTATTTCTAAATAACATTGGTG